GGTGCGCCAGCAAGCGTATAAGCACGAGGAAGAAGCACTCAAGCCAGAGAGTGAGCCAGACCCGACCGGGTCGTCAGTGGCCGGAGCTAGCCCTCCAGCCAATACGCCGTCAGCGGAGGAAAGCAAACCGCAACGCCGAGCGCCGGGCGGACCAAACCACTCGTCATCGCCTACTCAGCAGTGGGTAAAAATCCCTCTCCAGAAAGGTAGAACCCTGCACGCTCATCCAGCAGCCCTGCAGAATCGAGGAGTCCGAGTCACATCCCATTTCTCGGAGCTATTTGACGCAGAAGAAGACGAGTCAGAATCGGAGGGTAAGACGGAGGAACGCCCCCCCCCCCGAGCATCCAGTGATCGAGCTCTCGTCCAGTAGTGAAGCCGAGTCTGAACGGAAACCAGTAACTACCGCAGCGGATAAAGCGAAAGTACATCTCGTAAAGGCAAAGCTGCCGAAACTGCCGGACACTTCTCAACTATTGGCCCTGAAGCAACGGCAATGAGGAGTCATAGCCAAAGTCCTGCACGAAATGGGAGAGTGTCATGGGGACAAATGGCCGGCATCGCTGGACTCTCTGGCAGAAGTAACCACGATTGAGCATGTAGAGCGCTATCTCGGAATCAAAGAGGTCTCCACACCAGCATCCGGGAACTGCATGGTCATGGCGCTAGCTCAAGACATCGCTAACCACAACCTAGCTGCGCGAGCAGACACTATGGAGACATTAACGGCAGCAATCAAGCGAGGGATCAGTTGGTCGGGACAACTCAACTGCATGGATCAATTTGACCATTTCACTCGGACACAAACGCTGGTGAATATGGAAAGAGGGTGGGAAGGTATGGATCCCAAGGAGTCAAGTAAGCAATTTCGCTGGTACCTGCAGGAATATGCTTTGTCTTCGTCGAGAATCCACGACTCAGTCCCGCGATATAATTGGGGCTCCAGTGAACTGATGGCTACGGCGGCCAACTTTCTCGGCAGGCGAATCTTTGTTTTGGCTTACGATACTGATGACAAAAAGCTCTGGTACTGCTCGGAGTACCGACCGAGCACTATGACCAGGGGAAGGAAGATCTTCGAGACTGGGAGACAACGCCCTTTGCAGCTACAAGCGTGCCTACGAGCAATCCGGGAAGCCAAACAAGACACAGAGCAGGACGACTCACTCGTGCTCCGTTTCTGGGGGCGTCATTACTCGGCGTTCGTCCATTCGGCGTCGCTAGTAATCCCAGTGCCGGTAGACTCCTCACAGGAAGAGAAGAGCTCTGTTCCAGAGGATGCCGATGATGACATGACCGGAGGCGGTGCCTTGGTAGGGCAAGTAAACCGGGAAGCGCAAGATACTGCGGATCCGTGGGACCCCACCATGTGGGCAGGAGACTTGACAGAACTCCGTCAGCGGCTTCTGGGATTGTCCATCCCACATGATCTCAAACGCGAGATCCACCACATCCTGGAAACTGCTGAGCCGGAAAGCTATGATGAACTGCTAGCGTTTCTTGTCAATACCGCCTCTCAGCTCACGCTGTCCGAGCGCAAGTTTCTCGTCAACTCCGATTTGGCAGACGAGTCCAATGCAGCGACAACACAAATGCTCCAAAAGTATCAAATCTCCAGAGCAGTGCTCCGTCAATGGCAGTTGACCGTCCAGCATGAGCCCAATGCAGAGCTGGAGCGGGACTCAGTTGCTCAGGATGCAGCTGACGTGGAGACGGGTTCTAATTACACGCCATCCAGTGCAAGTAGTCCGGACAACTCCCAGTCTAGCCAAACCCAGAGACGAAGTTATCGCCAATCTCCGAAAGTGCAGGCGAAGAGGGCTCACACTCTCACACCAATGTAGTGCGAAGTCATTCGCCAAGAAGTCCGAGCGAAAACTGACCGCGCACAGCAAGCTGTAGCCCGCCCGGCAGCTCTCTCGGCGAGGGAGGAGTCTCTGGCGGACGCCAATCCACCAGTCCGCGAGGTATGGCCGGATCTGTGGCAGCAAATGGTGGTGATCTGGCCATCGAACGCGCAAGCTCCCTTCACGTCAGAGAGCAGCTCGGAAGAGGAATGGATTCTCACAGCGAAAACGGAACCGACAAAGCTTTTGCATATGGTGCAGAGATTCGCATTCCCAGATGAATTGATGGCGAGTTTAAGCGACAAAATACTCATGGAATGGACAGCGCAATGGAGACGAGATTGCGTGCTGGCGAGTCTCATCGCGTACCGCAGTAGATCAGACGACAGAGGAACACTCAAATGGCTAGATGATTGGAAAGCACGCTTTGCTAGAGCACCGCCCCACAACTTGGCCCCGTTAGTGGATAGTCGTGATGACTGGGTCAAGTTACGCAGCAGGGGCTACGGACAAGATGAGATCCTCAAACTATGTGACGTAGGAAACAAGCGCCGGCTGGCCCAGCATCTCATGTGCGCCCTAATTTTTGAAAAAGAAATTAGAGCGATAACAGCACGAGAATCGGACAGTGAGAACGGTGCATTGACGCGGCTCCAACGACACTTGTTCGCACTGCGGACAGTGTCGGAGTTCCATACTGCGTATTCAGCGGACAATAACTCGGTGGATTGGTATGCCCTCGCGCGCTACTTCTCCACGGCCCTAGAGCAAGGGGGGCCAGAGCGCGGCCACCCATATTAAGGGCGGCGAGGAGCAGCAGCAACCTCAAGCACGAGATAAGAGTGAGGTGGCTGCAGGGGACGCCTACGGGCGTCTACGCGCACTGCGGCGACG